ATGTGGAAATTGAATATTGGCCAAGAAGCAGTTGATGGAACAGAACAGGAGGATACTTCTCTTTCACTCAAACTCACTGCTATTGAGCTGTTACTAACTCACAGTGACCTTATAGGGCAGGTAGAACTGCCCCTGTAGGTTTCCAAAACTAACTCTTTAAGGGAGTAGAAAGCCCAGTGTTTCTCCTGAGGAGCAGCTGGTGGTTTTGAACTGCTTACTTTGCTGATCGCAACCCAATGTTAAACCCACTATGCCACCAAGACTCCTAAAGAATACTTAGTGGTTAAAATCAAAAGGGGTCTGCTTCAGAGTTGTATCCTTTCATCATACTTATAGAATTCGTATGCTGAACAAATAAACAAAGGCAAAACACTGGATATATAAAGAAGAAGATTGGAGGAAGGCTCATTAACAATCTGCAATACGCAGATACTCAACTTTGCTTCTGGAAGTGAAGAGGACTTGAAGTATTGATAAAGATAAAAAGATTATAGCCTTCAGAATGGATTATAACAATCTAAAAACAACAAAATTTCTCATAACTGTATCACTAAAGAGCATCATGAAAAATGCAGAAAAAATTGAAGTTTTCAAGGATTTCATTTTAATTGATCCAAAATCAGTACTCACGGAAGCAACAGTCAAGATATCAAACAGCAGACTGCAATAGAAAACTCTGCTGCAGATGGACATTGGGCCTCCACTCCAAGTACTTACTCAATACAAGAACACGTTGTTCTATTAAATTGGCATTCCGGGATGCACACCTTCCCGACACGATTGCTGAAGAAAAATGTGTGCATAAGCAAATGTGGTGGGAAAAGCTGATGGTGCCCGGCTATCAAAAGCTATATAGCGTCTGGGGTCTTAAAGGCTTGAAGATAAACAAGCGTCCATCTAGCTGAGAAGCATCAAAGCCCACATGGAAGAAGCACAACAGCCTGTCTGACCACGAAGTGTAGAAGGGATCAGTTATCAGACATCAAAGAACTAAAAATCATATCAGTGGGTGCCCACCTTCCTGATACGATCACTGAAGACAAATGTGCGCATAAGCAAATGTGGTGAAGAAAGGTGAAGGTGGCCAGCTATCAAAAGATACAGCATCTGGGGTCTTAAAGACTTGAAGATAAACAAGCGGCCATCTAGCTCAGAAGCAACAAAGCCCACATGGAAGCACACCAGTCTGTGTGACCACGAGCTGTCGAAGGGATCAGGTATCAAGCATCAAAGAACAAAAAATCATATCACTGTAAATGTGGGTGAGT